TTTATCGTCATACCCTGGATGGATTCACGGTTTGTAGACATCTATCTAACTCTCTGTTCATATCTATCTATTCTACAGGATATCTAAAGTATATATCTATCTAACTCTGTTCATATCTATCTATCTATCTATCTATCTATCTATCTATCTATCTATCTATCTATCTATTCTAGAGGATATCTAAAGTATATATCTATCTAACTCTCTGTTCATATCTATCTATCTATCTATCTATCTATCTATCTATCTATCTATCTATCTATCTATCTATTCTACAGGATATCTAAAATATATATCTATCTGTTCATATTTTCTATCTATCTTCATCTATCTACAGGATATCTATCTATCTATCTATCTATCTATCTATCTATCTATCTATCTATATCTATCTATTCTACAGGATATCTAAAGTATATATCTATCTAACTCTCTGTTCTTATCTATCTATCTATCTATCTATCTATCTATCTATTCTATCTATATATCTATTCTAGCCAGGTTATCAACGCTAATTATCTAAAAAATTTTGTTTGCCTGGTATTTATCAATTTTTCTTTTTTTTTTTTTATCTATGTTATTTATCTAAAAATCTATCTATTTGAAATCAGAGGATTATTCTTTGAATATCTATTCTTCCTGATACTCTATACCATTATCTATCATAGACCTCAATGAAACAAATCGAAACACTTCATTTGTTAGAGTTTTGAAAACTGTTCAGTTTTAATTCCTCATCTATCTTCTCTTCCTTCCTTCTATCTATCCTTCCTTCCTTCCTTCCTTCCTCCGAATCAAATATTAAAGTATATATCTATTTTCTCTCGCCTCTGATTCATGTTTAAATTCATTGAAAATCATTTATCTCATCAATTAAATGAAATCAGAATAGGATAATGGATCTATTAGCGTATGAGATATCTAAAATCGGAAAATGGATGAACGGTTGTTTAAATTAAACCATCAATCTATGTCGTCTATTCTAAAGCTAAAAATCTATCTATTCATTGGGTATCTATCTATCTATTCAATCGAGAACGTAAACGAAAGGATATCTAAAGTAGATAGACCCTATCTAACCCGTTAACGCGGGTTCTAAGGGAATATATCTATCTATCATCGGAGCTATCTATCTAAACTCTATCTATTCTACATGTATCCCTCGTGGTAGGTGGAGCGTTTAAATAATTTTCAAAAAAGATTGTTCAACTATCGAATGGTTCCTTTATCAAATTTTCTTGTTTTTTTTTTTGCGCAAAGTTTCGTTCTTTAAAAGAAAACCCTGAACCCCGTTTATTGAAATCAGAGGATTATTGGCCGGCTTGAAAGCACCTGATCCCTGCCATTCTTCCTGATACGCTTAAATACCTGTTAAATTTTACAGTTACATAGATTGTTCAATGAAAATTCTCTGCCTTGAAACACTTCATTTGTTAAGCTTTTTTGAAAACGATTCGTCAGTTTAATTCCTCATGCCTCCCTGAACCCGTTTTTCCTTCCTCCGAATCAAAGTGTTATGTGTCGGGCGGAAGATTTTCGGCCTTGTGCCATGTACATTCGTGTTTAAATTGCATTGAAAAATCATTTACTCTCATCAATTTGTTCAAAATCAAAGAATCTGCCTTGGATGTGCAGGTAGCGTATGAGACTATCACTATCGGAAAATGGATGAACGGTTCGAGTTAAATTAAACCATCAAGACTGTCGTCTGCACAAAGCTAAAAGTACGAGAGATTAAACTGTTAGGTTCTATCTGGCAACTTCAACAGCGAGAACGTAAACGAAAGGCAAAGTTTCATCCGGGGAGGTAGACAGACCCTGAACCCGTTTATGTGGCTTCTAAGGGAATATTTTTGGCCGAGCTTACAGGCTCGGAGCACCCACTGTAAACTCGGCCTTGTGACATGTACATCCCTCGTGGTAGGTGGAGGCTGTTAAATATTTACAGTCGCATAGATTGTTCAACTATCGAATTCTCTGCCTTGAGCAGAGAGGAACCCGGACTAGGCTTTGCCGAAGCGCAAAGTTTCGTCCGGGGAGGTAGACAGACCCTGAACCCGTTAACGCGGGTTCTAAAGGAATATTTTTGGCCGAGCCTACGGGCCCGGAGAACCCACGGTAAACTCTGCCTTGTGCCACACACATCCTTCGTGGTGGCGCTATTAAATATAAACTGTAAGATGATAAGGTTTAACTGTCAATCTCTTTGTGTGTGTGGGGGGGGAGAGAGAGAGAGAGAGAGAGAGAGAGAGAGAGAGAGAGAGAGAATCGTAACCTGGCAAATTTTTAGTTGAATTTTTACTGAAAATTTTCTCTGTATAATTTTCAGCATTATATCAAGTAAGAAGATTATCTTTAAAAAAATGAATATTTCCGGTCTAAAATGTCCTTTTTTCGGAGAACCCACGGTAAACATGGCCTTGTGCCACACACATCCTTCGTGGTGGTGCTATTAAATATAAACAGTAAGATGATAAGGTTTAACTGCCAATCTCTTTGTGTGTGTATGAGTGTGTGTGTGTGTGTGTGTGTGTGTGAGAGAGAGAGAGAGAGAGAGAGAGAGAGAGAGAATCGATAATTACGTAACCTGGCAAAATTTTTAGTTGAATTTTTACTGAAAATTTTCTCTGTATAAATTTTCAGCATTGTATTAAGTAAGAAGATTATCTTTAAAAAATATTTCCGGTCTAAAACGTCATTCTTCGGGATTTAGTCCCGCTTCAGTATCCAGGGTGATTGAAAAGTAACTCCCTATTTTATGTATGATGGACTCTCCCGTCTTGTAAAAATTATAGTTAAAAAGTTATAAAAAAGTTAGAATTCAATCCTCTGATCCAGGGGATTGAAAAAAATTTTAAAAATTATAATTTGTTTTTATTCGGACTATCCATTTTTTGTCGCCATATTTATTACAACATTTCGGCCGTTTACGCTCCGGTTTTTCTTCAGGTGGTTGGAATGTCGAACTGAACCATTTATTTCGCTCACTCGGTAAACTGTTCTAGTTCCGTGCCCGTCTAATGGATGTCTTAACTAAGAACACATGGTACCTTAGATAAAGGCGTTGGTTAGATCCAGTGACAGGACCTAAAGAGTGTGAGTTCAATACCCAGTTAAGGCAGTAGAGAACTTTCAGAGGGAAATTGATAACTGATAACTGACATCCATTAAACATGGCACGTGGAACTAGTGAGTGAAATAAAGGGTTCAGTTCAACATTCCAATCACCTGAAGAAGGCCGGAGCGTACAACGGCCAAAATGTTATAATAAGTATGGCGACAAAGATGAGGACAATGGTCCGAATAATGTAAATAGGGTACATAATACCTCATCTCAGAAATATAGACAGATATAATTTCTTTATTAACTATAATTTTTGCAAGGAATGGATATGAGAGGATAGAGTTTAGCATGAGGTTTTATTTAAAATTCGATAGGGGCACCAGATTTTGCTATCAGCTTGTCAAGCTACCCAGGAATCGCCTGAACTGATTTCACCAGAAACTCTTGTGGGATGGAAGACGTAACTTCTTGTATTCGATCTTCAAGTTCTCCGAAAGTGATTTTTTCGTATAGTGATTTGCTCTTTTAACCAACTCCAAAGAAAAAAAAACTCACAAGTTGTTAAATCAGGACTCCTGGCTGGCCACTCATACATAAAATAGGGAATTACTTTTCAATCACCCTGTATATAAACGTTGCCCGTTTTGGCCGAAAGAATAGAGAAACTATGACAGTCGGGAAAAACCATAAAAATAGGTTTTCATTGAAACACGTCCATGATTAACCCTAGCACTCGAGACGAGTTGATAGATTATCGATAAATCAATTTTACAATAGATTCGTTGTGACATCTATTAAAGAAAACTGGGTAGCTGATTTTATCCGTTTCCTTCTGCTACGTCTTTCAGCTTTGAATGATGTTTAAAGGTGTTGAAGAGTGTTTAAAACATTTAGAAGCGTGTGTCCTTGTCGAGCGGTTTAAAGGTATAAATATCGACTGTAAAATTCAAATTTGTAAATTCAAATTAACGTTATTCATTACCCCAACCGCACCGGGTCTCCCTAAGCGGTAACCCATCTGCATACTGATCAAACTCAACGTTGCTTAATCTTAAACCTGTATAGGCTTTCACTCGGTTAGAATATATTTTCCAGTATAGGCCTCTTCCTGTACATTCAAGAGTACACTATTTACATTATTAGGACTCATCTTTGTTGCCATATTTATCACAACGTTTCGGCCGATGTACGCTCTGGCCCTCTTCAGGTGGTTAGACTGTCGAACTGAACCATTTATTTCGTTCCCTGGGGTAAACTGTTCTAGTTCCACGTTCAATGGATGTCCTGTTAATTCCCCTCTCCAAGTTCTCCACTGCCTTAATCAGGTATTGAACTCACAACTCTTTGGGTCCTGTCACTGGATCTAACCAACTGTGCTATGTGTCTGTAAGAACATTTGTGTATGAATTTCTGGGACTTATAAACTTAATTTCTTCAGCAATCATTTTTACTAGTGCTCATATTGCAATTTTAGCTGTCATCATTTCATTTTTTTATCAGAGCTCATATTGCAATTTTCGTTGTTATTATTGCTTTTCTCCTTATTACTGGTTCCCATATTGTATTCATTTCTATGCTTGGTCGGCTCAGGAGATTTTTGTAGCCTCGCATACGTGCTGATTCTTTAAGTTTACGAATTTTCCAATGATGTTCTTTGTCTATGATTTCAACCTGATCCCACAGAGAAAAGGGCGATCACCGCCTTATGTACATCGGCTGAAACGTTGTGATAAATATGGCAACAAAGATGAGGACAATAGTCCGAATAATGTAAATAATGTACATAATACCTCATCTCAGAAACATAGACAGATACAGGAGTACGTTGACTTATTAGGAGAAATTAGTGAGTGATATAGGTATACCCATTTTTTTTTGTAATCGGTCACCCATCTAGATACTGACCATACTCGACTTTGCTTAACTTCGGTGATCGTACGAGATCTGGTGTTTAAACGTGATATGGCCGTAAGCCAAAATGTAATTGTACTTTATTTTTGGAAGAAGGAAGTTGAGAAACGAAAACGGAAATTACTTATGACTCGGCCAAATAGTTAACTCAGTCACATTCTGCAAGAATTAATGGCGTTCGCGTCTTCGTCATTTTGTCATTTCAAATCTTGTTAAGAATTGTCGCTGTTGAACCAGCGGGTGGCAAAATGTCAAATTTATTTATTGGTAAAAATTTTTCCTCATTTTTCAACTATCTTTCGTAATTAATAGACACAACTTTCACTTTACCATCAGTATTTTTCCAGTAACGCCTCGAAAATCGAATCAACCGTTCGCCCCGACCCTGTCTTTGAGGAAACCGTTTGGTTAACAAGACACTAGATAGATTCTTTCATCCAAATTAGACAGCCTGAAAACGTCTTCGCTTTTAAACTGATAAAAGCAAAGCAATTTTTTTGTTAACGAAATTTCAGTTGAACTGGGCGTGGGTAGTCAACGAGAGTTAGAGGCTAACAATAAAATTTAGCTTGTCTGCTCAGATTGGCTTGAGTGGCAAATCAGGTTTGGCAAAACTCTTGGTTTCAATTGGAAATGAGATTTTTTTTTCTACGATAGTTAGATCTCGGATGACAAGGACCGTTGCATTCCATTTCACACAATTCCATTGGGAAAAGCATGAAGCCCTCTCCCTTTCCCCAAACTATGGATTAAATAGCAAGATAGACAATGCTTTCTTGTCGACTAGTTAAAAGATGGAAAAAAAACGCCGAATTCCAAACAGTAGAAAATACTACGGGAGTTCTCTCCCCTTTACCATAATTCCACCTATTTATGAAAAGTTTTAAAAAAGACATTGTTTTCTTTGACGTTAAACCATAAAGAAATTTATGCTTGATATTCTGATATTATCAGAAAGGAAGAATTGATTAATTAAGTTGATTTCGTTTGTAATAGATCTTGACATATAAGTAGATCTTTTTTTTTACATATATATATATATACATATATATATATATATATATATATATATATATATATATATATATATATATATATGTGTGTGTGTGTGTGTGTGTGTGTGTGTGTGTGTGTGTGTGTGTGTGTGTGTGTGTGTGTGTGTGTATGCAGAATATTGATATAATGAAAAAACCGTTAGATATTTGATCCGAAGTTCTGTAGTATTTTTTGTTTTATTTTTAAAAAACAGTGCTCGATACACAAGTATAGCTTAGATTATAATTATTTTTTAGAATAAGATTCCATCGCCACACAGAAAATGTTATGTTTTAAAACTGGTCAGCAGTATTTAAGTTTAATTCCAAACTGGGATGCGGTTTCATCCTCATTTAAAAAAAATAATAATATATATATATATATATATATATATATATATATATATATATATATATATATATATATATATATATATATATATATATATATATAGTGCATTTCAATACATGATCTCATTAGTTTACGTTAAGATACGCTTCGAGCAGATATGAGCGTTCGAGAGAAATCATGGGAAATTTGTAACTTAAAAACAGTAATTTGACCTTGCTAATCTGACGCTTCCTCTGTAGCTAAATGGCATAGCACGTCAGGCTATATATCCGTTCTTGTAGTATACACGTTTGGTTACTTTCGGAGGACGCATATTTTCGATGAAATTTCTCGGACATTCAGGCCGGTAAATGTAGTTACTACTGTTTTATTATAAACAGAACATTTACTTAAATATTTGCATCTATAAAAATAACGTATAAACTGAATATATATATATATATATATATATATATATATATATATATATATATATATGTAATAAATGTATGGATATAGATCCGACAGTATGAAGAAAAATATACAGAAAAAACAAACAAAAATAATACTTATATAATATATATTTTAAATATATAAAAAGATTTACATATTAAGATTTTTGTTTTTTTTTCTGTATATTTTCCTTCATATATATATATATATATATATATATATATATATATATATAGTGTGATAGGTAAATTGTTGCCATTTTATATTGTTAATTTCATGCATTAACACATATCCAATTAAGTTACTTCACCGAAGCCAAGTTAAAGAAAATACTTCAACATTTCTGTTCTAAAAATAAAAGCATGCAACAACGGGTATTATGCAAGGTACAATGGATAACTTGTTGCCATTTTATATTTTTAATGCGCATTATTTTTGATTTCGTCGACTGCAGAGTATTGTAGGGTCAGTTGGGCACCGTCTGTGAGAAAAAGAGCACCATGACGCAATTCACTCCGCCAGAAATTTGGAAACGGCATGCAGTACTGCTTGGCATTCATACCGGAAGCTACAATGCGAATATTTCAGAGTTTTGGGGGTATCAATCTGAGAGCAGTGCAGAGGATTCGAAAAAAGTTGAATGGTGATTATGGAAGTGTTTGGATTGATCACTAGTGATGGCAACGTTTTGTCTTCATTCATCTTCACACAGGGCCTAAGTCTCAACAGGAAAGTTTACATCAAGTGCTTTGAGAAGGCAGTGCTGACCTAGTTCAAGAGGGTTGCCTGACAACAGGACTCTGCACCTTGCCACACAAACAGGAGAACCCAGTCACGGCTGTCAAACAATTTCCGCGACCACACCACCCCTTACATCTGGCCACCTAACTCCCCAGACTGCAACCCCCTTGATTATTATGTATGGAAGGACCAACAAAACTCCTTGTAACGCCAGGGAAGAACTGAAGGCAAGTATTATGGCAGCAGTCACCAGCTTAAACAAAGAGACTGCCCAGAAGAGTTGCAGGAGATTCCGAAGTCATCTGGAGGCTCTGGTTGAAACTAATGGCGATTCTATTAAATAAATTTACTCTTTAGTATTTCAAGATATTTATTTTGGAATTTATTTCAAGATATTTGTTATTTTTATTTACGTCTAATTTAGGCGACAAGTATTTAAGTAAATTCCTTTCATATTGTCTGATAAGCTTAATAACATTATTATTGAAAGATGAAAAAAAAAACACCACATTGTAATTGTCATCTTTGATAATGGCTTATGTAAGCTGAAAGATTAGATAGGATTAAAAAAAACATGTATCAATGGTGTATGGTGTTTTTCTTTCATCTTTCAATGATAATCTTATTAAGCTTATCAGACGTTATGCAAGGTATTTACTTAAAATAAATAAACAAAGCCTATCTATATTATTTAATGAAACATGCATCAATGAAAAATGCTGCCTAACTACACACACAATATATATATATATATATATATATATATATATATATATATATATATATATATATATATTAAAAGAAAAGATAAGCGCAAACGTTTTTGGTTATAATGTTGATTTTCTTTCTCTTCCGTATTTTTTTCTGTACGCGTTTCGGGTTTTGTGCCCTCATCAAGCGAAAAATGGTTATTTCCTCATATTATTTAAAGGAATTATTTTTATGTTTCTTATGTTTAACCATTGTGATAGTAATCCAAGTTCTTGGACTAGTGGAAAAATCTTCATTTGCTTAAAGAGTAATAAAACAATTAGGATTGGTCAGAAAAAGGGGGAAAGAATGAGTTCTTTGATTTTATCTTTTTATGTCCTCTGTTTCATTTTGACCTTATCTCCATTTTTTTTATATTGTATTGTCTGTATATATATATATATATATATATATATATATATATATATATATATATATATATAGAAAAAAAAGAAGGAAGAGTAAGATATATAATCCGGTGTTCTTATTGATATTTTCATTTTTACAAAACAGTGCTCAATGTACATTTACAGTGCATAAATATCATAAATTAACTGATTTAAAAATATGCTTCCATCGCTACACAGGAATTACCATGTTTCAAAAACAGAAACTAACAACTTCAAGTTCAATTATATAATTAAATTAAAAGCACAAGTTCTGTTTCATTTTTAAGCGAATTTTGGATTAATTTATTTTGAAATTTACTGAGTTTTAAAAGCACCTACATTCATAATATCATTGGAAACAAATATTATGAATGTATGTTTAGGATGTTATAGTGTGTGATAATCTTCTCTGTGTAAGAAAAGAAACGCTTGTGTGCATAGGTGTATGTTGAATGGTAACGTTAATTCATGTAAGTGTGTATGTAATGGAAGTCTACAAATGTCACCATCTTTTGCCGGTGAAATGTAACGATATGTTGTAAATTATTTTTGTATTTTGTAGGATTTTTATATCCTCGTATATATATATATATATATATATATATATATATATATATATATATATATTATTCGTGTATGTGTATGTGGGGAAAGTCTGATTGGTTATTGTAACTAATTTTGTGGGTTTGAAACGAATTATATTAAAATAATAAATTAGTTTTGCTCAGATTTAACATGCGTCATTTTGAAAAAGGGACATTTGTAAAATCCTCATTATTTTAAACATAAGTTAGATTTATGAAAACTGGATCTTTAGAAATATGGTGATATGATGTAATGTTTTAAACGAGTGTTTATCGTTGGTAGTAATGCTATGAATATATTTTAAAAATATTTTCTGCTTAAAGTGTGGTGTTCTTTTTTTAGTTAGGCTGGCATTAATGGAATTAAAGTTATGTCCCACGTCGTTTCGATGTAAGACGAGGGTGTTAGAATGTCTGTCTAAGTGCAAGTCTCTCTTGTGTTCATAGATCAGGGTTTTAGATCATGTTATGTCTCCGCACGTAAAGGTTTTTTGCTCTGTAGAGACTATCTGATAAATTTCTGCATTTGAAATGGTGTTTGGTTTATTTATCTTATTGATTACAACCGCAATTGTCTGGGGGGGTAACGATCCTGGTGTTAGGAATGGCTAATTTGTTAGCGAGTTTAGTCGAAAAGGGTTATGGAGGGCAAATATGAATTTTATTTTTTATTGGGGGAGTATGTTTTTTGGTTGTATCGATTTTGTGAGCTCGTTTATTTTAACGTTGAGTATGAGATTGGTTTGGGTAAATTTGAATGTTTTCTCAATGTATTCTTCG